TGACTGCTCAATGTACAGTTAAGTAAAAGATCATAAATGTGAATTGGATCGTATAAACCCAATTATGCACAGATATTAGAAACAAATATATAATAGAAAAATTGGATTTGAATGTATTATGTTTTCCAAAAAAATTAAATAAAAAAAATGACTAATAGGATGTATTACAATGGTATTAAAAACAGTTATGTCTGCGGGATGCCTGGGTGGCTCAGTTAGTTAAGCGGCTTGCTTCCGCTCAGGTCATGATCCCAGGGTCCTGGGATCTAGTCCCACATCTGGCTCCTTGCTCAACGGGGAGCCTGCTTCTCCCTCTGCCTGCCTGCTCGCTCGCGTGAGCTCTCTCTCTCTCTAACAAATTAAAAAAAAAAACTAAACTAAAAAAAAAAGCCAACAACAAAAAAAGTTACGTCTGAATGACAGCCAAGTGACATTAATTTCTTATATTTTGGTGATTCCCAAATATTTGCAAATGACTTTTTTTCATTTTAAATATTTCAAAAATACTTAAATACTTAAGCTTAATATTTAATATTTATATATTAAAAATATTTCAGACTGGTATCATCCATTAGCTATGGAACTTCAGAGGTCTGTAAGAAAATACAACTTGAGGGGCGCCTGGGTGGCTCAGTGGGTTAAAGCCTCTGCCTTCGGCTCAGGTCATGATCCCAGGGTCCTGGGATCAAGCCCCCGCATGGGGCTCTCTGCTCAGCGGGGAGCCTGCTTCTCCCTCTCTCTCTGCCTGCTTGTGATCTCTGTCAAATAAATAAAATCTTAAAAAAAAAAAAAAAAAGAAAATACAACTTGACCATTTCTGCATTTTATCCAACTCTAATTTTTAAAGACTACAATAACCAAAATAGCAAATATTTGGTAATATCACTTATCTTCACACATTAAAAAAAGATATTGATTCTGAACATTTATATAAAACACATTAACCATGCAACTCTGTAATAAAAAGGCAAAAGTAACAGTATAAGACTGAGGTTCTCAAGCTCAGTGGTTCTCAAAACTTCTGGCACATCAGAATCCCCTGAAGGGCTCGTTAAAACCAACTGGCAGGTCACAACCCATGATTCAGGAGGCCTAGAGTGGAGCCTGAGAACGCCTATTTCAACAAGTTTCAGGGGATGCTGATGCTGGGGTCCAGGAACTATACTTTGAGAACGACTGCTTTAGTGCAATCAAAGGTGGCACATACACTTGTGCTTTAAATTGGTCATGTTGGGGCACCTGGGTGGCTCAGTGGGTTAAGCCGCTGCCTTCAGCTCAGGTCATGATCTCAGGGTCCTGGGATCGAGTCCCGCATCGGGCTCTCTGCTCAGCAGGGAGCCTGCTTCCCTCTCTCTCTCTCTCTCTGTCTGCCTCTCCATCTACTTGTGATCTCTCTCTGTCAAATAAATAAATAAAATCTTTAATAAATAAATAAATAAATAAATTGGTCATGTCATCAAGCCAGATTTATAAGTAAAAAGAGATTTAAAGACCTGTTATTTACTGAAGTTCTTACTTAAAGCTGCCAATATAGTTACAGTCATTACCACAGTTTAATTTGGCATGTCCCTGATGCAGAACATAACTTACAAAACAATCATTATTGGTATTATTATTCCTTTTTAAGAGATCAAGAACTGAGACTCAGTGCAAAAGCTGTGTTTCAGTGGCAGGGCCCGAGTTCCTAACTAGCTGACGACCTCCAGCAGTTGAGAACCGACCAGAGTGTACCAGGCACAGCGCTAGTTCTGTAAGAAAAAGCTGAGCTGGACAGAGCCCTGACCTCAGGGTACTCAGTCTGGGAGGAGATGCAGCTTAAACAAAGAACAAGGTACTAGGAGAAAAGCAGATGGAAGAAAGTTAACACCTACTTCAAGGGCAATACACACCTTTAGCTCCTTAACTGCAAAGCTCACAATTCAGAATTTATTAGATTCTTGTAGTCTTACATTACTTTGTTTCCTGTAGTTCTACTTCTCCACCTGCTTGTCTTGTCCCCGAGATGAGAACCATGTTTTCACATGGCTCCTAAGGCACTACCACAGGAGTTTCGGAAATACTGATGAAGTACCTAACGGGTCAACAGGCTCACCTTTGAGGGTACCAGCAACTGTACCTTGTCTAAAATGACACATAGCGAAGATATATGCAAGGACCCAGGATTTTTGAGAAACAGTACAATTTATGTTGTTACTATCTCTTGCACTTAACTCTTAACTTCTGCTATCTTTAAAGATGTTTAGTTTTAATCAATGGTATCACTAACATTGACATCTTCACTCAAGCCATGAATAGTCAAAGGAAGTTCCAAGTTTTTGTACAGAAGACAGAGTCAGCCAAAGACACACCAGCTAAGAAAACTGAGAAGCAGCTAGACAGAGAAAAAACCAGGAGAATGTCAGAAAGTCAAGAAACAGGTGTTTCAAGGGTCTGGTCAATTGTGTCATGTAAGCTACTGAGAAGTCAGGCAAGTGAGAACTGAAAGTATCAATGGATTTAAGACACCCTTGTCCTTGCATCTTATTTTTTTTTTTTTTAAGATTTTATTTATTTATTTGACAGAGATCACAAGTAGGCAGAGAGAGAGGAGGAAGCAGGCTCCCTGCTGAGCAGAGAGCCCGATGCGGGGGCTCGATCCCAGGACCCTGGGACCATGACCTGAGCCGAACGCAGAGGCTTTAACCCACTGAGCCACCCAGGTGCCCCTTGTCCTTGCATCTTAAATGAGAGCACAGAACCCAAAGTGGGCTGGGAATTATTTGAGGTGAGGAAAGGGAGACAGCAACAATAATAGATTTGAGAAATGTGACCATGAAAGGAAGGAAAGAGGTTCAGTAGCAGGCTGTTAGGGATGGAAGGTTGAGAGGACCGATATTTTTATTTCTTAAGATGAGATATAGAACCGAAGAAGCATCTGATTTCTATTGACTTGCAATGGTATTATGGTAATAATGGTAAATTTTTTTTCATTTCAGCAAAAAGCATTTACCATATAATTTTTCAATTCCCTTGAACTGAACATAAAGGTCTCTCACTTTGCTGGGTAATGAATAAAAAGGACCAAGGTCATCTGATGATGACTCAATTGTTTTCTTAGCAACACTAATTTCTTCAGATAGGAGAGTCTCTTTGAGCTGTTTAGTTCTAGAAAACACTGGTGTTTGGGCCCTGGCATTTCCAGTCATGGCACTTTTTAGATGTTCTTTAAGACTTTTTCTCCTATTTTCTTCTGAACCACTTCTGACTTTTGAAGAGGAATCACCAGTTTGCTGGTGCTCTTCTTTGCTATTCTGGGGTAATTCCTCATTCAGAGTCTTGAGAGAGGATGCGTTCCAATCCCTCTCTTCAGTACACTGGCTGCCCAAATCATCTGCAGAGTTCTGCACATTTTCAAAGTATAACACCTGTGAAGAAGGTACGTCATCCAAAATGCCAAGTTCAGCAGAGACATCTTCACGCCTGCTCCGGTTCCTCACGGGCTCATCCGTTTCCGATTCCCCGAAGCTGCCTACAGCAGTGGCGCTGCTTTCCCAACGAAGACCTTCGGTGCTAAACCCTGCGGCACGTTTTCCACGTTCAGAAACTTGCATATATTGTTGTTCCACGTCGTCAACTTGAGCTAAAAAAGAATTTTCAGCAAAGCTGTCATAGTCCCCGAACATGTCCTCTTCACTGTCATTATTCTGGAAAGAAAACGAGAAGATCTACGGTCAGTTCTGGCTTCGTTAAGGACAGACGTTCCAGCCTGGAGCTATCCAGGCACATAATTACCTAAACCCAAGTCGGCTACGGAACGGATGTCACCGTCTCGGTTGCAAAGATGAAGACGCACAGGGCCAGAGCGTGGACGTGGTCTGCGCTAGCGGCGGTCCCGGGGTGCGGGGTGCTGGGGAGCGCTGCCGGCTGCCAGGACGCAGCGAGACCCGCAGACCCCCGCGGGAACGCCCGCCGTCGCACCGCGCTCCGCAGACCCGCACGCGACGGGACCGCGCCGAGGAGACTGTTCCCGGGAGTCGGGACCGCAAGGGCCCGCACCGCGCCTGCCACGGTCTCCTCGGCGGGAGAGACGGGAATGTGGAGGAAAACGGACAGCGAGCGGCGAAGGAAACGGGACCCGCAGTCGGAAACGGCGGTCTCGGGTCCCCGCCGACCACGCGGCCTACGAGGCCCCCAGCCCGGCGTGCGGCAGGGGCCGTCGGGCGGGCAGTCTCCGGGACCGGGTCTGCGTCCTTCCCGCCCCAAGCTCCACCCTGGAGACCGACACGAGAAAGACACGGCGAGGCCCCGCGAGCAGAGCTACCGGAGACCCCGGAGTCGAGGCCGACGAGGGCCGCGGACCCCGGACGCGACCTCGGGGTCTCTACGCGCACCCGAGCCGGCCTGCGGGCTCCTCCCGGGGGCGCGCGCCGGGGTCTGCGTCCCCCCGACGCGGGCAACCAGCCGGGTGCTCGCGGAGTCCGTGCGCGGCGCGGGAAGTACCTCGAGCGGCTGCACCTCCGCGGTCCTCCTCCGCCGGCTCCCGGCCCCCGGCTCCTCCTCCCGCTCCTGCCGGGGCTCGGCCGCGCTGCCGGCGGCCAGGCCGCTCCCTGGGCTCGGCCGGTCCCTTTTGCGGATAGACACCCGCCGGCGGAGGCGGGACCCGCCCTCATCCATGGCAGGGGCCGAGGACCATGACCAAATCCCGCCCCGCGTGACCCGGCCGCAAGACCCCTGTGGAAGTGGGAGCGCCGGGCAGCGCGGGGGCACCAGATGCAGGACACCGCGCTCGCCCCTCCATCCACCTCAGACCACAGACCAATCGCGCGGGCTCTCAAGCCGGAAGCGGAAGCACGAGCGTAGGGACCCGCCTTTTCCTTGTCCAATCAGAGGTGTCCCAGGCTCGCGGCCGGGAGCGTCAGAGCGGAAAGGAGCTGCGCAGGCGCGTCGAACACCGGACCGGCTTCGTTCGCCCGCGGAACCTTTGAACCGAGTCCTCTGGCCAACCGGGGAAGAGCCGCGGCGGGACTCGTCAGGACGGCTTGGAGAGAGGAGCGGAAGAGGAGGGGCGAAGACCCATGGCGGCCCTGAGCGCTGCTCGCGGTGGTCCGGGGAGGAAGCCGTGGACGCACTTCGTGAAGGCTGCTCTGTGCCTCACGGGCCGTGGGACTCGCTCGGGTACGGCTTCCGTGTCCCAGACCCTTCCGTGGCCGTCGCCGCAGCGCTCCCTGGGTGCGGGCGTCGTCCTGTTGGCCGGAGGACGCCGGCTCTTCGCGCAGTAGGAGCTTCCCCGAGAGGGACGGGATCCGTCGTGGTTCCTGACGCGCGTTTTCCTTTATTTCTATAAGACGTTACTTGAGGCAGGGAGGGAGCGCGAGCGGGGGCGGGGCAGAGGAGACGGGGACGCGGGCTCCCCGCGGAGCAGGGCCCCAGCGGGGTCGGTCCCGGCAGCCGGAGACCGTGACCGGAGCCGCGGGCCGAGCTTACCCCGCCGAGCCGCCCGGGCGCCCCGGTTTGCTTTTCCGAGTGAGGAAACGGGGTTTAAGCCGACCGTGGAGAGCGGAGTCGCCTTCCGGGACTTCCTGGTCTAGAACGAGCAGCTGCTGGATTTGGGAGAAGCCCCTGCCCCCCGCCCCCTCTGGCCTGGTTTCCGTCTCCGTCGCGTGGGCTCGGGCTGCGCCTGGGTCGCTCGTTTTCGGAACCTTCCGAGTCGCTTCACTGGCCCCGCCCCCGGTGACCGGTGTCGTCCCCCGAAGGGGACAGGGATGTCCCCCAGTCCTTCTCTCCCCCCCCCCTTTCAAACGCGCGGAAAGAACGACCGCGTGACTCTCGAGCAGCGGCAGGGACTGACTTGCCTCGAGCTCCAGGCGCAGCTGGCAAGGACGGAACTTGTCCGGAGGCCCGGGAAGTGCACTGCGGTCGCCCAGAGTCCCGGATGCGGGCCCGAGTGTGACGGGGGCTCTGGCGTCTCTCCGGCGCTGATCTTCGCCGCCGGTGACTGCTCCTCAGGGGCCCCCGCTGGCTGCAGTCACGCACGATCCGCGTGGGGTTCTCCAGGCTCTGTCCTCGCAGCAGGTCCCCCTGCGGGAGCGGCGGCCGAAGCGGACCGTCCACGCTGGGAGGGCGCGGGGAGCCCCGCTGCAGCCCGGCCGGCGGCCGCCCAGCCGTCCTGTGCTCCCGGGGGTTCCTCCTGCTTTCCCCTCCAGTGCCGGCCCTAAACTCTGCCCCTAACCGCGGAGCGAGGGAAAGTCAGTCTCAGGAAGGGGGCAGGCGGGAGGTGCGTGGGGCGGGGCGCGACGGGCGCTTTCCCGCAGGCCTCGGGGCGGTGGGTCCCCGGCCTCACGCTGCGGCTCGCCCGGAGGCGTCTGTCCGCGCGCCGCGGGTGTGAGCTTAAAGCGGGTCTTTGCGCTGTCTCCCCGGGTCCGCTGCCTGGAGGACGGAATCCGGCCGTAGTTGCGAGCGGAGCAAAGACTTGGTTTGTTGCCGTTTGTTTGATTGCAGTGCCCTGGAGAGGTTGTTCGCGGGATCAGCGGGTGGCCGGCCACGACGACCTGGTAAGACTTTTCTCCTTCCTTTTTAAGGCATTTGCGAATAGGGCCACATTCTTACATTTTAGCTGTTGGAATGGAGTTCAGCTGAAGGACAAATGATGAACATGCTCATCAGTTTGAGTTTGAAAACGGTAATTTGTTGAATTGTCACTTAAGTGAGCTCTGAAGTAAGAATTCCTAGAGTCCTACCAGAAGCATCGCTTGTGGGACACCACATTTTTCTTCTTAGATCCCAAATTTAAGGATACACGCTTCGGAAATTAAAAAGATAGTTTTGGCGGGTGCACAGAGGGATTACAAAGTCTGCCAGTACCTTGGCTCTCTTCCCCATGTCCTCTTCATTACCGGGGGTGGGCACGGGGTGTTTTCGTAAATGAAGGGTCAAAATTAAAGTTTGTACTGGGACATTAAATCGTTTCATTTAGCCCGTAGGTGTATCTTTATGGGTTTCAGGCACTGGCATTGGGCTTAGTGTAAATTTTCTTGCTACCTGCAAAGATGACGTGACACTCATAAAAGCATACAGAGCGCTTAGCGCAGTGTAGAGAAGGAGCGTCGCCACTGCGTGGGAGCTGCATGCAAATTGGACTAAGAAGGTGTGAGGAGTTGCAAAACACGCGGCTCTTCCAGTCCTTGCGCGTCCTTCTCGTCATCTAATGCTCACCCTAGTTCAGGGGAGTAAAGGAAATTACTAGAGCTCTTTTCTAGGTTCGAATGAAATGTGGGCTCCCCGAAAAAAGCTCACAGTCTCAGTCATTTGAAAATTTGCATACAACTCCAGGGGGTTATGGACTTGGAAGCCATTCTAGATTAGGAGTCTAGATCTGGCATAGATAACGCAGCCTGGGACCACAAGTTATCCTCCCATAAACCTTTGTTTTCCCAAGGATTGTATTTTATCCCAGAATCCTCCTCCAGGATTTAATTCCTCCTTAGCCAAACCAGAGTACTTGGACAAAATGTGTACGAACACACTGAAATCTTTAAAATGGTGACTCCTTTTCAGATACACTGAGTTTTCTTATATAAGCCAAGCTGTTGTATTTTTTCTTTTTCATAGTAAGAAGGGTACAGCTAATCCTTTGGATAGATTTAAATGTGGTAGCCTTAAGATTTAATCTTTTTAAATTTAACACATTAAACTGTATTATCAGATTTTTTTCCTTTCCTTTATCATAGCCCGTTCCAATGGAAAATCCTTATAAGGAGCCTCTTAAAAAATGCATCTTGTGTGGAAAACGTGTAGATTATAAGAACATACAGGTGAGATACGGTTTTACTTCGCTATATTTGATTTTAGGATTTGCTCCTTTGTTAGTCATAATTAAGGAGGATCAACTTAGTTCTATAACAGGCTTTGTATAGAGGCACCTGTTTTAGTAGCTTCATAATTTCAAATCTGATTTTCTATGTATAAGGCATCTCTGTTTTATTCTAATGAGAGCCCTTTGGCTCTCCCTCATGCACTGTTACTTCAGGTCAGTGTTCTCTTGTCTTCCCTGGAGGTCACCAGTAGCTCACTGGGCAGTGATTCTTAGTTGGTAGAGTTGAATGGTTTCAAAAAATTGCCTCTGGTGAATTTGGACTCCATACTAATAACACTGCCGGTATAACTGCTTCAGATGTAATTTTATCTGTTGTCCAAGGCTCAGCAAATTAAAAGTGGCAAATGTAGGGGAGAGGATGATGCCGGAATTAAGTATACTGACGGCAGCAAAAAGTGGTAGCTACCTTAGATGAAAACTGAGAAGTTGAAAGATGGATCTTATCAGAAGGATTATGCATAGTGCCAGGAACAGTGCCTGTTACCTGAAAAGTACTAAAGAATTTAAATGAATAAAACATAAATTATGGCAAGTGGCGTGATGTACCTGTACCTCTTGAAGACCTTACTGTCGTCTGATACAATGTGATAGTCTCTTGTGACAGATGAAATGCTTAGTGCCTTACTAAAAGCAATAGTGTTATAGGAAAGGATCTGTGGAAAAGTTCAAGAAAACAGTTTTAGCTCTGAAAAAATGTGTACATTAATCTGTTTTGACACACTGGATAAACGAAGTTAACTTTAGTAATCAGTTTTTTCATTTAAAAATTTAATTAAAAAATTTTTTAAAATGACCTATTAATAGAATGAGCATAGTTCAGTATTTTTAAGAAGTTTGTCTAAAATTTATTAAACCTTTACATAACTTGACAGTGATATATAATTTTTTAAATTTACATAAAGTTGAACAGATGTGTTGATAGAAATTTTTTTTCTTCTCCAAATAAAACTCATACAGCTTTTGTCCCAGTTTATTTCTCCATTTACTGGATGCATTTATGGAAGGCACATAACAGGTACTTTGTTTTCTATTATAGCAGCTTATTAAAAAAATTATACAAATCTACTTCTGTTATTTAAGAAAAATGTCAAATTTTCAAATTGTGTTATAAATCGCTAGATACTACAGGTACTTTGAAAAAGCCTCTTCATAGGCCAAAAGGATTATTATTTTACATGTCTCCTTATGCTCAGAGTTAACTATAGGCAGACAACATGTAAAAAATGAGGGCTTAAGAAAATTGCATTGATGTTTTGGAGTATACTGTAGTCATTCGTAGACTACTTATTTAACCCAGGGCCTACTGCCTATAGGCCAAGTCATCTCCCACCTGTTTTTCTCAGTAGCTTATTTCATAGTGCCTATGGCTGCTTTGTGAACTACATCACAGTAATTACACAGTGGCTGTATGGCCTGCAAAGCTTATGAGATTTACTGCCTGGCTATTTACAGGTTTTCCAGCCTTTCCTTGACTGAAGATAGTTGCTATGCATTTTGAGTGTTGACATTTTTATGAATATGAAAGCATTTTTTTATAGGTCTTTGTGGGAAGAAACAGAAAGAAATCACAAAAGCAATTAAGAGAGCTCAAATAATGGGTAAGAGCACCTGAAAAACTGAATCAGGCTAATCCAAAGTTTGCTTGTTATCGTTTGTGAAGCATTTTCATTTTCTTTTACAGGGTTTATGCCAGTTACATATAAGGATCCTGCATATCTCAAAGACCCTAAAGTTTGTAACATCAAGTATCGGGAGTAAATTATATGAGTCTTATCATCAATAAACATATTTTATAATAAATGGTCATAAGATTCTAATACTGACTCAAATTATAAGATTTAATAACCTTTGGGTAGAAAATCGGCTAAATCTTTTGAAACTGAGTATTGAGTTTTTAATTCTTCACTGAAATCTTTCAAGGAAAAAGTAAGGCTTCCTCTCCATTGTTCTTTAATGAAAACAAGTTATTTCAAATGTTAATACACATTACATTTTATATACATACATACAAATTTTAAAAAACTGGTACTGTAAGATGGTCCCCAGTAGGCTCATACAACTCATTGGGATTTCAAATACGGAAAGGATGACTTCTATTGGAATTTTACTTTAGGCCCAGATTCTGTCTTGTAAATGGGATTTTAGGGATATTGGTGCATGAAGGTAGAATGCTAATGTTAATGTACAAATTCCATATGGCAGGGTATGGATTTAAAATTGATTTTTTCTTTTTTAAAGTATTTTATTTACTTATTTGACAGAGAGACAGGGAGAGAGGGAACACAGGCAGGGGAAACTGGAGTGGGAGAAGCAGGCCAGAATCGGGCCAAGCAGGGAGCCTGATGGCGGGGTTTGATCCCAGGACTCTGGGATCATGACCTGAGCCGAAGACTCAGGCTTAATGACTAAGCCACCCAGGAACCCCTGCTCAGATTTTCTAACTCGCAAAGAGAAGTATGCCTGGCTAGGACATTGGTTCTTTCCTTTGTAGAGATGTTACATGGGGATGGATAGTAGAGCAGTCATAGGACCTCAGATTTACTCCTGGGCTCGTCGGTCTTAGAACTTGGTAGCGTACTTTAAAATGATCCATAGGCAGATGGTCTAGAACTGTCTTACTCCAGTGATAGGCTAATCACCAAAAGATGAGAATTGGGGAAAAATGACCTATCGGGACCCTTTTTCTTCTTTTCATTTAATACCTTGAAACTTGGGTCATCAAACTTAATTATGGAAGTTCAGCTGGTACTGACCTCAGCAAGATTCTCTGAAATTTAGCATTTCTTTCTTCAAAGATGATGGATCATTGTGCACAAGTATAAGCCAAATGCATTACCTCTCTGTAGTGTTTTAGCAAATTGAACTTTGTATGAAGGCATTTCTTTTAAGCAGCCTTTGAAAAATCTATTGTCCTCAGGAGATATCTATTCACATATGTCTAGCCTGTTTTATCTGTTGGCTCATAAACTGGTACATGGAGGGCAGGGAGAGACTGAAGGGGCAGGTAACTCCAAGATCTCTAAGTTTCCCTTAGCAAACAAGGGAACTTAGAAGTTTGTCTTGGGTGGCCATAAGCCAAGTAGATCTCCGCACCTGCCTGCTAGTCTTAGTTTATATTAAGGCCTTAACTGTGTTCAGTCACACACACAATCCATATGGTGTCAACACCTTACTTTCTCAAGGCTATGTCCTTGCAACAGTTTCCACTGTGGGAACAGTAGGCAAAATGTACAGTCCAAGGATGGGAGTGGGTGAGGAACCTTTGCTTCAGTCCAGCTGGTGGCCAACCAGCAGTCTTGTGCTTTCAGGGACTTCCTCCAGTAGTTCATTTGTTGGTTGCATTTAGTCTTTATCTATGTTTTAGGTGATGTTCTAAATGCTCTAGTGATGTTTGTGGTTAAAAAAAAAAAGATTGTATTTATTTATTTGAGAGAGAGCACAAGGTGGTGGTGGGGGGCGGTTTAGAGCGGAACAGAGGGAGAGGGAGAAGCAGACTACCTGCTGAGCAGGGAGTCTGATGCGGGGGTCGATCCCAAGACCCTGAGTTCATGACCTGGGCTGAAAGCAGATGCTTAACCAACTGAGCTGCCCAGGTGCCCCTGTTTATGGTTATTTTTAAATTAGGCTTTAGACTGCCAACCTATTACCCCTCCTCCTGCCCGTTAAGACACCACAGTGCTTCTTAGGTAACCAGTTAAAAGAATCCCAACAGAAACTCAATAATTGGTACAGAGCATCCCTGCTGTTAATGTGGGCTTCATTAGCACCCCATGGTAACTAAGGCATGTTATAGATAAAAGATAGTCTTGATAATAGCTATGAATTTGTTCTGTTACTTAGTAAAATGGTCAAAGTGTGTGTTCAGCATTTCATCCAGTGAGTAAAACATGAAAGCTTCATTTGATGTATAAGCTTCGTGGAAAATTCTCACAATTAAGGAAAAGACGAATACAAAAAACAATAAAAGCTCTCTATGCCAACTTCCACTTAACCAACTCACTGGGTTAAACTGTGAGTTAAACTCAAAATCATACTGAAGTCCAGGACTCTTCAAATCTGTTGAGTTTTGCATTGCCAAGAGGCAGATGTTCTGTCTCCAGACCTGTGTTAGTTTTGTCTGTCACTGTACTGATGAAGTATGAGAATTAAAGTTATTCTTGCAATGAAAATGAAGTAAATGCTTTTGAAAGACTTGCAAAAAAGAAAAGAAAAAGAGTCAGATTAGGTGTGGTTAGGACAACTGAAGAAAGCTGCAAGTAGGAGGGTGCCGTGAAATGAAATGAAAAAAAAAAAAAAAAAAATTTTGTACTTGGGTTGCTTTTCAAAAGTTTCTTTAAATTCTTCACTCTTAAGAAACTAAAACTGGGAATTGTAAAGGTTAAATCATGTATGTGATTTACACAGGAACACCAATATTCCCACAGAGAAGTTCCTAGTCCTACAACAAAAGGTTGACAAATGAACGTACAGTTCTGCTTCATGTTGCAATGAAATCTCCGTGATAGACGTATGTATACCGATACACGTATGTACCATTTTTGAGTCCCATTTTAACTGGTCTTTTCAGCTACTTGACCAGCTGCTGATCTCAGACACACTGCATTACCAGGCTTGTTCTGTACTCAAATTCTGGATTCACTCAATTTTGTGTAGAGGGATCTAGACTAGGGAGAGAGATTTGTGCTGCATTACAGTTCTGCCGTAATTAGAACTACCAGATTTAGCAAATAGAAATATAGGGCATGTAATTAAATTTGAACTCCAATTCAGATTCAATTACTCATTTAAACAGTAAGTTTTTAATGTTGTTCAGCATTTTATCTGGCAACTCTAGCCATTTATCATAACTTAAAGAGCAGGAAATGCAATGACTTAGATAAAAATGAAATACATTTCATATTAACTTTAGACATCTTTTTTCTGTTGTGAAAATAAGGCTAGTCTTTCTTTCCCACTTCTAAAGAATGCTATAGAAGTTTAAAAGTATCATTTAAGCTTTTCCCTCAACAGTTTTGTAAAAGGAGCAAAAAAGGGTGGGGCGCCTGGCTGATTCAGTCGGTGGAACATGCAGCTCTTGATCTATGGTTGGGGGTTCAAGCCCCATGTTGGGTGCAGAAATAACTTAAAATCTTTAACAAAGGCGGGGAAGGGCGTGGACAAAAAAGGTTATGGTTTTAAAATAAAGTGCTTTAAAAAATAAATGTACCAGAACTTATGTATTACTGCAAATACCTAAACATAGTATAAACAATATAAATGGCTTTACCCTTCAGCCAATTAACAATGTCCTTCTGGCCTGAAAGGATCAAAACGTAGGAGACTGTGGATATTCACCGGAACCCTTCATTTTTTCAACGTCTTCATCTGTTTCAGGGCTGCTTGTTGTGGATGCTTTTTCTTGATTACTACTATCAGTATCTGTTTTAGATGGTTGGTCTTGTATCTCCAATGGCCGTGACTTCTTGAACTGCCATCCATCATCGGGATCTAAAGCTTTACGTTTAACCATTTGCGGCGCACCACTAGCCGCACTGGCTTCAGGAATGTCCGCGTATTCTACCGTTAAGGTCAAGTTGTCTATCACATCGAGTTGGTGGTTGGCAGTACAGCTACTTTTAGAAATATGCCTATTTTTCAAGGAGATAACACATGAATGAAGAAATTCACAATCTGGAAAAAAGGTCCGTAAAGCTTGACAAAGAAAAATGTTCTCCTGAGGGTCTTTTTCGATGTTCTCTCCTAAACAAAATAAAACAACCGTTCAACATACAATATTTGTTCTACAAAGCTTTTGTAGCAATCTGTTTTTCAGTAAAGTTAAAAAGACTTTAACTGAATGGTTACATCAAATCCTCTAAATTGAGAAAAATGGCGTGCATAATCCCAAATTCTAATTTGTACACCACTATATTTTAAAAGAAAGTTTAAGTTGTATTTTTTAATAGCAATATAGTCTAGCTACAAATACCTTTATTCAGTAGGATTTAAGAGTATTAAGAAAACAATTATTTTTAACCCTAAGGCAGATGATCAGTTAGCGTAGTCAGCTCACCTGTAATTCACATCAGTGAGAATTTTTTTTAACGCATGGAAGGTAGTGATGTGTGAACTTTTTACTTACGTGCTGCTTGAATTTGTGCCTGTTTTCTTTTTTTAATTTCCCGTTTCAATCTAGTTACGTCCTTTAGTAGTTTCTCTACTGCTCGCTCACTGTGTTCTACTTTCTTGCATATACTCTGCCAAATAAAAGAATTTAAGGGCATGGATAAAATTCAAGTTGTGTACTACAGTCTAGGTTCACAAAGTACAGGAAATCCTTTGTGGTACACAGTATCAAGTATTATTAGCCTTTATAAACACTTTATTTTGCTATTTTCTGAAGGAACTCAACAAGCATTTATATGGTGCTTTATAGGTTATAAAATGTTTTCCAGATGTAGTAACTTCCCATTTATACACAGCTTTATCACACCAGTTATCTGCTTGATAAGACACAAATAAAAAAAATATTTCAGTCACTTTGGAACAAAAAATACTACAGTATTTTGAGAGATGCACATTTACTGCAAACATTTAACATTAAGAAACTGACAATAAGAAAAAGTAACTTATTTGTTATGAAAAAACTGTTACAGATTTTTAATTAGTATATAAGAAATGACTTTTGAAAAGCAGACTGCCCTTATCAGTTATTAAAGTACTAGTTAAAATACCCTCTGACTCTACGATTTCATTTTGGGAATGTATTTTAAGGAAATAATAAAAATTTATATAAGATGTTTCTTGGTATACTTCAAAAGTAACTAATTTCTAATTATAGGGTAATATGTTGTTGCATCTAGTTTTAGAATGTTACTTTTTTACTTCATGCTTAGTTTTAAAATGGATATATTTTAGGATTATCTGCCCAGCCTATTTCTCACCATCTTGTGCACCATGTCATAAAAGTTTAGCAGTAACCCCTTTACCAACTTTCACCCTAACTGACCCAAGCAGAGAGAGCACATAGCCAGCAGACAAATCCCAATCTTCTGAACAGATCTTAATGTTTTTCTCTGGTTAGCCAGTGAATGAACAAACAGATCTGTAGGTACTATGCAGGAAACCAATGTGCAGACACAAGGGGAAAAAGTAAGTTCTAATTTAAAAGTTCTAATTTAAAAGTAAGTTCTAAAAAGTAAGGTACTAATTCCTTCCTGAAGCTCGGCTGTTTTCTGTCTACAGTTCCTGTAACATACCTCTGCATTCCTTGTTTTAGGCCAAGTTAGTACTTTGACATAAAAGTTCTAATATATTGCTGTATGAAATACATAGCCATTAAAAAGAACTAAAGAATATGTAACAAAAATGCTTATTAATGTTTTTGAAATGAAAAATGCTTCATGACGTTAAATAAAAATCATGGCAGAAATTTGTAAGTTTCCATCATTGTCGACTATGTAAAAGCATTTATATATTAGGGAAAAACTAGAAAATATGGCAAAGTGAAAATAGTTATGTTACAATGATGGGATTCTGGATGTTTCTGTTTTCTAAAATTCCCATATTACCATTCACATTAAAAAATAGTGAGCAATATTAGTAGTGTAAAATGTATTAACCTCACTTCTCTTAATTTGCCTTATCGATGAATGTGGTGGCCAGGGAATATACTACTCACATCTCCATTTGGGAGAAGCCTAGTTGACTAAAGGCCCCAGCTACCATCATTTTGGGTCCATTACTGAAGCCACGCTTCCCCTAGGCTGCTCTTAACCAGTGACTGAACACAGTGGGCTATTAGTACAAATCCATTCCAGTAGGAAAGCTTTGCTCGGAGTCCTCGGCAACCTGGCTGAAACCACTCTGGCCCTGCAGTCTAAAGCTCTCTCTACCCAAATGTCTGTCTCCTTTCTCCGGTGTCAGACTCAGCATTACAACTCTCTTTGCCTGCTCCTGCTCCTCCCCCCTGTTATCTTTCTCAGGCCTAATACATCTCTTACATGTCTAATCCCATCTTGAGGTCTACTTCTCCAGCTGATTCAATGAGATAGAATTTAGCACGGTGGTAGATTATTTTGTTCTCAAATACTGCTTCCCTTTTTAGGGAAGGAATTATATATAATATATATTAGGGAAGGAATTATATATTCTATTTATATATATTTATACATATATAAAAAGGATTATATGTATCCCTATCTATTGCCATGAAATAGGGATACATAATCTGGCCAATGAAGTGTGAGTGGAAGTGACCTGCCAGCTCTGAGGAGTTTTAAGAGCTGTTGTGAAATGACTCCGCTCTCTTGCTCTCTTCCCTTGTCATGAGAAGAGCACGGCCCTCATGTGGGTACTCTTTCAGTCTGGATCCCGAATGAAGACAGCACTTAGAAGAGTGCAGTTGCAGCCAGGATATAATGTAAGTGAAACTAAACTTCAGTTTTTGTAGGCCACTGACACTGAGGTCTTGTTACTGAACCTAAACCACTATAAAAATACAACCCTAATCAAATGCCAAGTTATCCCTAAAGATCTCAGTTATCGATTTGATAGGACTCTCGAAGTAGTCCTTAAGTGTTTGATATGTTAACTTACCTTTAATTCCTCTTGTAAAGAAGCATACATTTCATTTATTTTATGTACCTCCTTTAAAGATCCATCTTCTGTAAAAAATTCAGAGCTGCAAAAATTAGCATTTTGTCAGGCAAATATATAGAAGTCACTTTAATGCCACAATGAAACATATATCCGTAGTTGAAAAGATTCTTTTTACTCATTTTGTAGGGACCATATTTCGTGAACCCCCTTGTTCACGGCAAAATCAATCAGAAAACTTAGTTCATTTATCTTCCCATTAGCAGACTTCAAAGTCTTTTAAGTTCTATTGCCAGGACTCAAAAGAAGGTAAGTAAAAATAAAGACTGAAAGGGGAGGGGGGAGAAAACGGTTTCCTTCCTGGCAATGGGGACTGGGGACCAGTCAATTTAAAAAATATTTTATTGAATTTAAGTCATCACTGATTGAAAGAAACATTATTTTATATAACAAAAAGGAAAAAAAGGAAAGAGCTAAGGCATAGTTTATAAAATACCCCAATTTGAGACGTAAAACTCTGCATCTCAGAATCAATGAAATGTGGTATTCAGTTTCTATAAAAATGGTTAATCCTTGTGGGGACACAAAAGTAAATAAAAATTGAGTCCCTTATTCTCAGTTTCCACTCTCCGTTTCCACCGGGACTATAGCACTCTATAGTCCCAGTGTAATTTCTGACATTATTCCCTTAAAGAACACAAAAAATTGGCGTGCCTGGGTGGCTCGCTGGGTTAAGCCTCTGGCTTCGGCTCGGGCCATGATCTCAGGGTCCTGGAATCGAGCCCCATGAATCTCCGCTCAGTGGGGAGCCTGCTTCCCACCCCCTCTCTCTGCCTACCTGTGATCTCTCTGTCAAATAAATAAAATCTAAAAAAAAAAAATCCACAAAAAAGTTACAGTTCAGTAGCCTATACAGTATGAGTGAATCTTGGCTAAAGCCTCATATTTTTGTCATTATTTAATATTCAGTCTAATTTCATGCCTTTATAATCTAAATCGCGGCCTTAGAAAATTATTTTGAGACGCTGTTTATTCTTAGAGTACATATGTGGACTTGCACAGGATGTGAAACACCCTCCTTTTTTGTATATTATAAATGGACAAGTGCTAGAAGGAAATACGGAGAAAGTAAAAACACTCTGGTTTACGTGTGTAAGGTGGTCATTAGTTCTCCTTTCGTTTTTATTCTGTGTAATAAAAAATAAATTTCAAAACATGAACAGGAATAAGTTTAGTGGGAAAGCAGCTGAAGAACCTCACCTGTGTGTTTTTACTGCTCGGCTAAAACCAGTGGACTCACAGGAACCTGACACAGTTTTATAACCCAGCTGTTCCGACATGCCCAGATTGGCCACCACTAACGGTATCCTGTGAAAAAGTCTGAAGAAATAAAATTTTAACTTAAAGTGAAATATTAGCATCCACCTATTACATACCTATATAAACTTACACATATTATATACAGAGTACCTTTCCCCTGTAAGATTAAAAAACAACAAAAAAACCCCATTCTAAACCACTTACCTGAGATAGAATGTATTGACTTGAGGCAAATGCCTTTTAAAAACCGTGAAATGTGCATTGCGTAAGACAGTTGTGTGAATGGCTATTTTAACATGTAAAAATAGGCAGAATTGTTGAGATTTATCCTGTCTTCCATTAATAATAAAATTAGTTGGTATTCTTTTACTTAATCCTCATATTCCACGAGAATGTTATATAACTTGGGGCCGGTGTTAACTCATTTTGGTGGGCCATCAAGAATGACCTTGCTTCCTTGCAGAGTTAGAGAAAAGCTGCTCAAGTACCTAGGCTTGGTTCCACGTCATGTCCTTCTGCAACCAGTTCTCTACCTCGTGGGAAATAATAACAAATCCTCCGTGCCAAAACGCATGTCAACGTTCCATACCGGGCTTCTAATTTCCTTATCTAACCTTCATTTTCCCATCTATAAGAGACACGGCAGACCAACTTTGGAGGGTTATTGTGACAAACTAATGCAACAATATTTGAAAATGTTTGGTAAGAGGCTAAAAGTAAAATGAAAGCATTGGGTATATTTTTCTATTAACTTAAAATAGCCAGTGAATGGCCAACACTGACCCCTTCTGAGGCTTATATAAGGCATGCTCCAGCCGGTGAGTAGAGCAGCTTTCCGTTATTATGCTTGGTGTTAACAGCAGGAAAACAAGTTCCTGGCTCGAGAGATGATTTTGTAAGTTTTTGTGAAGCAGTCTCTCTCTGAATGTCATGATCTGGTCTGAATGACGTCGGAATTTGTACCAACCAACCACAGCCTGAGAGAAAATACAAAAAAATAATCAGGTGTATACCTTAATGGTTATAATTACTGTGTGTCTTACTATCATAATTAAGCAATAAAGTTGACAGCCTTACAAATGGCTTTCTTAAATTTAGCAAGATTTGGGGCATAGATAAAGCACAAACTTCAATATACACTTTACTCTTTTTTCTATTTATTTTTAAAAATATTTTATTTTTAAAATAGCAAATACTCACCCAACTGGACTGAGCCACCCAGGCATCCCTACACTTTACTTTTAAAGTACGCAAACTGATTTATAGTCATTCAGTTACATTATAGTCCATTCAGTTACATGGCTACTATTTTAGTCAATACAGAGAAAAAAAATTCCTAACTTCCTCTAGCTCCTAGAGGTATTTGCTATTTTAAAATCTTAGTTTTCAGTCAAAATTTAAATGAAGAAAATGTCAAGGAAAACAAGTTAACGCCCTGTTTGGGTACTTGGTTTGCTAAATAAGTAAACTGAACCCAACAACTTTTAACTGAAATTTATATGGAAATGATATCCCCTCCCCCACAGAGCAGGTTTCAAAACTGAGTAAGATCCTATGAAATGGTTTTATAAACTGTAACATCTGCTGAACAAATTTGTAAGTATTACTAAATTTTTTTAAACTGGAAAAATAAATCTCATTCGCTGAGAACTTGGTAATTATAAGATGAAAGCAACAGCTTTGCTTCGAGATCTGTGTATGACGACTTTAGCAACTAAGTGTTGTATCTGTACATTTAAACTGAGGAAATTAAAATGAGTTCTCTTCTTTTTAAAACCAAAAAATTTTTACAGGTACATTTTAAATGTAAAATATAATGTAATTTTATAATAAAATGTAAAGTAAATATTAAAAAAAATTTTCATCAAAGGATGGTTTTTAAATTTTACTGAATCTACTTTTATTTTCAACTCAGAGATCAAAATGTTTTAAGAAGGGAACCCTCCCTTCCTCACCATTTTGTATTTGGAAAAAAACCCTATTTTGATCACTCAACAAGTCTTAACACCAAGTATGTGTAGAGGGTTCAAATGAGGTTCTATATAGCAAAGTGCTAGTAACTCCAGCTATGTAAAATAACAGTAATGAGTTAGGTCCTAGAATAAATGGTACTGGGAAGGTGTGTGGTAGGAATATAGAAGAGGAAGAGATCAATGCTAATTAGAATAGTTGAGGAGGAGAACAACAGTAATACTTTGAATGACTAGTTCTGCTCTCAGAGCACAATTTTGAATTTCTGAACAACAAGACTTTCCTCACCTGCTTATAGGACATTGTGAAGATAACTGTTGCTTAAAAATTCTGTTAAAGTATTAGATGTTTTTCAGGCTGAAAATAATACATGTAATACCAAACAAAAGTAAGTCAGGGAATACCTTTTTGACACTTGATAATATTTTCTTCAGTGCTTGCTCATTTAGTTCACCAGAAGAATTATAAAAGCTGTAAAAGCCAAAATTAAAAGCATTTCAAATAGGCTAAAAATATGATTTTACTAGCACTTTTAATTTTAGTTACTCCTTACCCAACCAAAATCCATATACCCACTTGCTGGTCAGATCAAGTTCTAAAAATAGTAACAGAGAAATTTCTCAAATTAACAGACTTAAAGTGGTAGAAATGTGAGGCCCATAAACAACAAGAAAGGAAAAGGAATGGAGAAATTTCAAGAAATAAATTTGGGCATCATATTTTCTTAAGCCTAAAACAAGCTATCCATTAAATATAAAAAGTTTTAAAGTCTACATAGCCAGTTCACAATTCATTCACAATCTGCTTATTAAAACTTTTTTTTACAATATTGATACATACAAAAGAACGTATGAGTAATGAAACACAACAACACAAAGTTTATTGCTAATTCCAAAAGCTATACTTCTATTAAGTTGAGAAGCACTTTAGGTGCTGGTCGTTCTGGGATTTTTTTGAGTGGGGGGGGGAACAAGGTGTTTAGATATTGTTTTAGTTGTCTTTGTTCTGTTGGAAGGTCAAAGATGTAGGAAGAATTGGAAGGATAATTCTAAAAGATTCTAAAGTGTTTACTTTCAGCTTTCTTCCTTCTCCAATAATAGGGGTTGCAGATAATATTCTCCTCTTTTAACATTCACTGAAATCAAAAATATTCTTTTCTATGATGGTGAAATACCCGTTATGCAAACTCCTTTGTAAACAATATTCACTGTAATAAGGCTTTTACTGGTGGTTCTAATCTGTACTGAAAAAATTTAGGTATGTCAAACTGAAAAAAATATATTCTAAATATAAGCAATGTTTTTTGTTTTTGTTTTTTTAAAGATTTTATTTATTTTTATTTATTTGACAGATAGAGATCACAACTAGGGCAGAGAAGCAGGCAGAGAGAGAGGAGGAGGCAGGCTCCCTGCTGAGCAGAGAGCTCGATGCGAGGCTCGATCCCAGGACCCTGGGATCGTGACCTGAGCTGAAGGCAGAGGCTTTAACCCACTGAGCCACCCAGGCACCCCTAAGCAATGTTTTTTTAAAAAATTTACGACTTACATTAAAAATTTTCCACCCAAAATTTTAATGGGAAAATAGACAAAATGGAGTGTTCCAGCTATCAAAAGGGGATTTCCACTGATCAAACAGATCCCTGCACTTTATCTGTTATTGTAACATGAATACTCTAAATACAAGAGTTTATTCCTGTTATTTCTCTAGCCTGGTCCACTTCCCACTTCTCAAAATGGGGCATGAGGCAATACACCAGGTATATAAGAAACAACAGGATAATAGTATATACTCTGTGCAAATACTGATTTTATGTGAAATTCCTGGGGAGGAGAGGCACATTTTTATATAGAATGATACTGTGCAGAATTCATGTTAAACTGCATAATTTTTTAAGTGACTGAGTTTTAGGCTTCAGTGGACTGTTTTCCAGATGTTTCCTCTTGATTCTTGGTAAGTGATTCGGTGTTTTTCAATGGAAACCTTTGAGAAACAATGTTATTAGAAAAGGGTTGGCAAACTTCTCTGTAAAGGGTCAGAGAGTAAATATTTTAGGCTTTGCTGGACACAGTCTCTGCTGCATATTCTTCTGTTGTTCTTTTTGTTTTTAACAACCCTTAAAAAATACATTAACTATTCCAGATGGCCCTATAAAAATGGGCCATACTTTGCCACCCTCTGTATTAGCACATAAAAGTGGGCATTAAAGCTTATCCAGCTGGGAGTCCAAGAAGTATGGTATCAAAATGCTTTAACATGTTTAGCTCTATTATTCAAAACAAGGAAGCGACACCATGGTATGCTGTTGGGAGCAGAACTGACGAAATCCTCATTCTTCTAGTTTCTGCTCTACTGCTAACCAGTTCTGCGGCATTTGTTCTATCATGAACTTTTTAGGCCTAATGTTTTGCTAAGGAAAAATGAAGTGTGTAGAAAACTTAACTGAGTGACAGCCTTTTCTGGTGGTTCTCCTTATGTCTCCTTCCCCTTTACAAGGCGAAAAGGCTGAGGCATGGGTTTCTCATCACTGGATCAGACGGGCTTCCTCCATTATAAGGCTCTATTAAATTGTTATAATTATTTAGGGCAGTTGCCAATAGACACTGAATCACTTTTCCTTTTCACTCTTCATTCCTAATCTTTTTGCAGGTCAAGAGTCCTTAGGGAAGTACTTTTTATGAGTCTCCACCAAGAATCCCTCATTCAGCAAGTATTTTTGTATGTCCACTGTATGCAAAACACTATCCAAGATCTCCCTCTTTCTGGTGCAGCAGTTTAAGACCACAAGAGGCCTTGACTTCTGTCATCCCCTATCACAGATCTTCTTCACTCTTACCGTATGCTCCACTGCCATTCTTACACAACCTCAGTGTATGTACACTGTGACCATAAGACAGTAACACTGATTTTTCAAGTACAGTTTATGTAAATCATAAAGTTATTTCATTACAACTACACCATGCTGTGATTATAGGTGTTTATGAAAATTCACTTATGTGTGTACTTTTCTATATGTATGTTATACCTCAATAAAAAGTTTTCAAAAATACCATAGCCTAGCGGCGCCTGGGTGATTCAGCTGGTTAAGCGACTGCCTTCCACTCAGGTCCTGATCCGGGAGTCTCAGGATCGAGTCCGGCATCGCGCTCCCTGCTCAGAGCAGCACGGAGCCTGCTTCTCCCTCTCACCCTCTCCCCTCTCATGCTCACGTGCTTTCTCTCTCTCAAGTAAATAAATAAATAAATAAAATCTTTAAAAAAAATACCATAGCCTATTAGAGCTACAGTACTATTATAATCTGTGTGACTAATAACAAATTTTCACTGTAGGAAGGCAATGGGAAGCAGGTTAGATAAAGAACCTAACCAGTTAACAGACAAAAGATGACATTAGATATGCGGTAAGTGAGAAAACAAGTGATGAAACAGGCTGAATAACAGAATAGGAAAAAGGGCTGCTGCTATATGAGAACGAGTCAGTGAGCTGACACTATGCAGTGAGGTGACTAAGTGTGAGAAAAGCAACCTTCTTGGTGAACGGGCAGCTGGGAGTCAGTGGAGACCGGCTAATGCAAGCACACAGCAAACACAGAGAAACAACTATCAGACAGGGCTGAAATGAACAAGTGGATTTTCAGGTATTTTTTAAAAAGCCTTTTCATTTTTATCATACCACCATGTGTAACTGATAATTAAAATGTTTTGTATGAAAAGTGACTTCACTTGCAGAGGGTAATTTTCACAGTGGATCATTTACTTGCTGTGACTACTTACCTGAAAAGCTGATAGCATGGAATATATTTCTGGATGTCTGGAAAAAAGGAATTTTTTGCTATGATTACATTAATATTCATTTGAATAGCATATATTAAATGAAGTACTTTAACATTATCTCATTTAATCCTCACAACAAACCTATGACACAGATGTTACATCATTCCTTCCGTTTAAAAGATGAGGTAACAGGCAGAGAGAATGGTGGGGCCAAAATTCAAACCCAGCGCCTCAGTCTTAACTTGAACACTACATTCCCTCTAAACAGGTTTCATAATGAACGGCAACACGAGAGATGAATTTAAAGTCGCTCTATTTTTGTTAAGTTCTAAAAAGGTTATATTCTAATTTTACCCAGTTGACAACAGCAGCAGCTAAAGGGATTATCTTCTACTATTCCAAGTAGTCACTTCATAAAAGATTCGTTAGCGCTAGCTCCAGACTAAGAAACAAGAACCCAGTGTCTTTTAGGAAGCGAGTTTTATTCTCGCCAATAAAAATACACCTAAATTCTGGTAGCTGCACATACTGTGCAAGAGAGAGAAAATTCTATTGCATAAGACATCACTATAAATCTTGTAGGAAATATCAAGATGAATATAATGTTCCCTCTAGCAGTTCAAACCATCAGATCTTCCAAAATTATTGGAGAACGACAAGAGGGAAACATCCACACCCGGTAACACAGCAACCTGCCAAGAGAACAAGTTCTGGGGCGCCCGGCTGGCTCAGCTGGCAGAGCATGCGACTCCTGACCTCAGGGCTGTGAATCGGAGCCCCACTCCGGGTGCAGAGATTAGTTTGAAAACAACAAAGAGAATATAAGTTCTTCCAGGCTTCCCACTCTTAGGGGTCCCTTCTGTCAAAAATCAAATCTTACCAGACAGCACTTACTGGGCCACTCTAACAACCATGTATTTCAGATAGTTTCCGTGACATGTCCTATTGTGTGTCAGATCATAGCCAGAGTACTAGAAATTTTTTTAGCCACTTAAATCAAAGACATCAGTTTGATTACAGAGAATCTGTGACTCTTCAGCTAGACGAGGAAAGCCGTTATCAGACTGCTACTGAACAATCTCTTCGAGTAAACATCTGAAGGCTGGAGACATCTCTGCATGTTTGTACCTGCAAGTGCCATCTTTAAAGAGAAAACTACATGAAATCATCATCTCTATGACTTTATGTGTATATTAATAAAAATAATTCAGTCTATTTAAAAAAGGGAAAGTGACCATCCTCTTTAGACAATTTTCTCCTAGCAAATGGATGTTACCCTCAGATAAACTCGTCTGAAAAAAACAAAACAAAACAAGACTGAACAGAAATAGTCTTACTGATAACTGACCAAACACACTCTGATGTATGTCTAAAAATGTGTATGATGAAAATCTCATTAACCAAAGCAGTGTAGTAATTTGCAGATCTTGGATTTTATTTGTTAGTCATCTAGTAATCCAACATTTTAAAATAATCTGAGCAATTACTTAAGTGTTCCTACAGCACTTGCCTAATAATACCCTGAAGTTTAACACTGGTCCCAGCACAATGGAGTTGTTCAATAAATGGTTGCTTAAACTCCTTAAAATATGTCTGGTTACCTGAGGCAGCATGTCACTTGCAATTAGGTGATAAATGCCCCAAGAGTTTGCTTTTAAAGTTTGTGTCTGGAGGCACCTGGGTGGCTCAGTGGGTTAAGCGTAGGACTGTTGGTTTTGGGGTCAGGTCATGATTTCAGGATCCTGAAATTTAAGCCCGCATGGGTTCCACGTGGAACCTGCTTAAAATTTTCTCCCCCTCTGCCCCTCCTCCAATTAAATAAATAAATCTTTTTTTTAATCATTATTTTTTTAAAAAGGTTTTATTTATTTACTTGTCAGAGAAAGCACAAAAAGGGGGAGCAGCAGGCAGAGGGAGAGGGAGAAGAAGACTCCCCAGGGAGCAGAGAGCCCAGTGTGGGGCTTGATCCCAGGACCCTGAGATCATGACCCGAGCCCAAGGCAGATGTTTAACGACTGAGTCACCCAGCTGTCCCTCAAATAAATAAATCTTTAAAAAGAAAGAAAGAAAGAAAGAAAGAAAGCTTGTGTCTGAGCTGAAAAAAACACCATTAACAAAGTAAAATTACAAACTGTATAAACATGTGTAACACAGGACAAAAGCCCAATTACCACACATTATAATGTAATTTACAAATCAGTAAGAAAAAGCAAAATAGCTTAGCTGAAATATAGTCAAAGCATGCAACAGGCCTGTCTTTTTCAAAAACAAAAGCTGCCCCCAAAGAAATAAACAACCTCATTTGTAATTAAGAAATACAAATTAAAGTTGTTTTCATTTATCAAATTGGCAAAGATTAAAAAATTGGACAATACTTTGTGGTAGCAACAGTACGTGCACCCAGGCACTTTTACATATTGTGGAGGAATCTTAAGATGGCATGACTTTTCCAAAGGCAGTGGTCTATAAGGAATCTGACTTTCCAACAGACTCAAGCATAGAGAAATATGCACTACAAAAATGCGTATCATTATACTGTTTTGTATTAACAAAAAAATAGGAAGTCATTCACAGCTGATTATATAAATGCTGGTATGTAAATACAGCGTAAATACAGAGCCATTAGAAAGAAGGGCAAATTATACACATTCATACTATTGTGGGCTAATAGAACAGTATCAGTGGAGATACTTATCTTGGAAATATTTATCCATGTATAGGATAATCCCATTTGTATATATATATATACATATATATTCACACATTTATATACCTGTGTATTGTTAATGAGCAAAAAGATACTTGTAAAACAGGGGATGCCGCAGAGGAGACTCTAAGGAGACTGAATTTACTTTATATACTTACTTCAAATAAATATGCTACATTTACATACACATGTAAATTTACATATATACTTCCATTTTTAACCTTTTAAAGTGGCAAACAAAAAAATGACAAACACGACTATAAACTGATACACAATCTTTCTGGAAAACAATTTGCTATTACAGATCAAGAACCTTAAAAACGCTCATACATTCTGACACCGTAAAACCAGCCCCAGGAATCTATGTATTATCAATGTAGAAAAGTGTTTAAGGATGTTCACTGTGGTGTAATTTATGAAAATGAAAAACTGGATAATTTATTTGAAGGACTGCTAAAGTCCCACAGCGAATATAATGCAGTTACCAATGATGATACTTAGAGACTCGTTTAACATGGGAAAGTGGTCATGAGACAATCTGATGTCATCATGCCACATCTTTTATAAACCACACCCCCAGTTTTGTTTTTCAAAATATGCTTAGAGGGGCGCCTTGGTGGCTCAGTGGGTTAAGCCTCTGCCTTCAGCTCAGGTCATGATCCCAGGATCCTGGGATCGAGCCCCACATCGGGCTCTCTGCTCAGCGGGGAGCCTGCTTCCTCCTCTCTCTCTGCCTGCCTCTCTGCCTATTTGTGATTTCTGTCAAATAAATAAATAAAATGTTTAAAAATATATATGCTTAGGAAAAAATCATACATTAGGTAATCAGAAAACCCCCTATAGATTTTTATGTTTCCTTTTCCCTTCTTCCTGAAAAAATAAGCTGCCATCTGCTGCAGATGATCCACCGCCCATCCCTCAACCTCTCTGCGGGTGGGTCTTTCCCCCAATACACTCTGCAAGCTACTTGGGGTTTTCAGTGATCTAATCAGTATTTTTTCAGTTCTTCTCTTCCAACTTTTCTGCACTATTTTATGTTTTTATCTGAACTGTTTTATATTTCTGGGGGGGGGGATTGCTTGCTGGGCCACCTTCCTGCAACTTAAATATAAACAGGAGCTATACCATCCTTCTTCTGCAGGGTAGTCTTACATACATCCTATGTCGCACACTCTTTCTTGCTTTATAGTAGACCATGGTCATAATTTTAACTGAAAAATGAATGCAACAAAATCTGCTTTAACATGCTTTATCTGTTTCTTAAAACAATTTAAAAACTCATTTATGCTGATCCCGTTCGTTCAGCATAAATCACCAAATATAAGAGACACAGAATAAGTGACTCACCAATTGTATAAATAACTTCAACATCATCCATTTGGGAATCAGTAATACTATTCTTGGCTTCACCTTTCACTTCCCCAAGGAGAAAACCTTCCTAGAAGGATAAAAATAAGCAGTATACGGAATAATGTGGTTGAATTAACTACTCAGTCACTTATCTAACCAATATTTCCCCAGTGTTTCACAATGCATACAAAATGTGGGAAACAGCCTCAGGTACCCAAAAGCAAGCCCAGGTGCACTTCCAGAATAGTTGGGAAACAGGAACAGCAGAGAGGCTGTAAATACCCCACCGGGAACACAAAAAGCTTAAGGCCAGAAACGAACACACAATATTTGGAGGAGGAGGAGGAGCAGTCAGCCTGGGGACAGACAGAGAAGGCTCCCGTTTCTGAGGAATGAAATCCTAGATGGGAACAGCAGCTTGACGTCCCCAATAACTAGTCAAAGACTGGATTCTGGAAGCCAGTGGCTGCTTCTGAGCTATGAAACGACACAACGGTTAGAGTCTGCAAATTAAAAACTGTACAGAGTATTAAAGGTCTGGAATTCAGCCTGATTTCTAAACGGGGAGCTGTGGGTCCTGCTCGTTTTTAAAATGCAGGCGTTTGCCACAACAGCAACGATGTCTTTGAATTTGGGGTTTTTCAATCATTTCACTTGGCACATTGAAAGACCCAATACGCTCAACAGACAATAAAGTATTTGTCTTCGTTCTAATGAGTCAAGAACGCCCCCCTCCCCTCCATCAACGAAAAACACAAGGAGAAGGTTTCAGTGATGAGTCTTGACCGGAGTCTCCGGGTGACACCCCGCAGTTCCACCGCGCGGGGCCGCGCACAAACCCCGGGAGAAGACGCGGGACCGGGCCCGGCTCACACGGCGGACGGCCGGCGGCTCCCGCTTCAAGCCGCAGAGACCCAGGGGCACCGCACTCCGCGGACACCGCGGTCAGGCGCTCCGAAGCGGTCCGCACCGCCGAGCCGCCCGGCGCGCGGTCCTGGCGGGGGTCCTGCCCGGCCCCTGCGGCTGCGCGCGCGAACGACACGCGTCCCAGCCTGGTGGGGACTGTGCCCAGAAACGGCCCCTGCGACAGCAGACGCCGAACCGCAGGCTCTGCCCGGGACGGAACTCTCGGATGCTGCTGCTCAGGCTCAGACTTCCCGGGCTTCTCGCAAGTTTCCGAGCCGCGCCCCGCCCTTGAGAACCCGCTTCGCCACTCGGCACGGGGCCGCGAGCCCGGCACAGGCACGACCCAGCGGCCCGCACCGGAGGAGACACGGAGGCGCTTCCGTCCCAGGGGCGCGTCCGGAGCGCCCCGAGGCCCCCGCACCGAGCGGACGCACCAGGTCAGAGGTCCTCCCGCCGGCGCGCACCGCCCCCGCGAAGCCCTCCCCGGCTGCAGCCGGCAGCGAGGCGCGTCCCGCACGAGAACCCCAGCGGCCAGCGGCCGGCGAACGCGCAGAAACCTCCGGCGCCGGGAACCCTCCGTGCGCTCGCGAGTGAGCTGCGCCCGAGGAACGGGGACCGCGGGGAGCGCGGAACGGGGCGCGGGACACGTCGGTCGGGCGAGGACACAGACATGGGTCAGAGGGGGCGGGGCTCGTCCCGCCAGAGACCCGGCGGCCGGGCGCCCCCGGGACGGGCCCGAAGCGGGAGAGGGCGGGGCGCCGAGAGCCCGCGGGGCGCCGTCGGGAAGCTCGTGGGCGGGGACCCGAGAAACGGCGGCGGGGACGCCCATGCGCGGAGCCTCTTCCGAGGCGACGCCAGAGCCCGCCTCGCCCGGCGGCTCACCGTGTCGGAGTCGGTGTTGAGGTGCTGGAAAGCGAGCGCGCCGAGCACAAAGCCGGAGAGCACGGCCGACGTGCTCTCGCCTTCCATGCTTCCGCCGGCGCCGCGCCGCGAGGGGGTGCAGGGGCGGGGCGCGCCGAGCCCGTTCCTCTGCGTCGCGGCGGCAAGGCGGGGCCGGGCGGATGGGCGGGGCCGGGCGAGCGAGCGGGTGGGCGGGGCCGGGCGAGCGAGTGGGTGGGCGGGAGCGGAGCGGGTGGGCGGGGCCGAGCGAGCTACGGAGCGAGCGACCGAGCGGGCGGGCGGGGCCCGCGTCGGCGCACCAGACGCTGCGCTCACCGCGGAAGAAGCGAGACCTTGGAGGCGCGGGCGCCCTCTGCCTGCAAGGGTGCGGCCAGGTGGAGGGGGTGGGGGTGGAGGGGGTGGAGGGGGTGGAGGGGGTGGAGGGGGTGGAGGCGGTGGAGGGGGTGGAGGGGGTGGAGGCGGTGGAGTCGGAGGGGCTTCTTCCCAGGCGGAGCGGTCGCCGTCGCGGTCGCACCGGGGCTTCGGCTTCAGACTCCGCGCTCAAACCGGACACGTGTTGGGACGCGGCTGCGCAGCACCGTAACGCGCGTTTGCGTGGCTGCGGCCGGGCGACCCGCGGCGCGCGTGCACACTGCGCGGTACGAGCGGCGCGGACGGGATGGACGCTCTGCTGACGGGATGGACGCTCTGCTGACGTCATGGCAAAAGCCCGAGGGAGGTGTCGTGCGCACAGCCGCGGAGTCCGTGACCGTCTTTTACTCCCAGGGGCTTCGGCCCTGGCCCCCGTTTCAGAGGTCGCGCCCGCGTCTCCTCCAGAGCCTGCCCCGATGTGCGCCTGTGGGAGCGCGACGGCGCGGTTTCTCCGCAGCTTGGCCAACTCGTAGAGCATCAAGGCCTCGGCGTGCTTTCCGGAGCTGGCGGTGACGGTTCCGACGGCGTCTGGCCGCGGGAGCTGCCTGTGGGGTGCGGAGGCGGTGGCGGGGGAGGGCAGACGCGGACTGGGCGACACGCCGCGCGCGGGTGCGTGAAGCTGCGTTTCCTGAGGGCGGAGTGTCAGACTCAGCTGAGGGGGTGCGGCTCGGTCCCGGGTCTCGTGGGCGTCCTGTGGGCCGAGTCACACCACGCGGCATTGTGTGTTTCTTACGTGAAATTAAGTTTCCTGCCTTCATTTTAGCAAACCGCTCTTCGTATGAAAACATCTTTCACATAGTTTCTGTCTTACGAATGGTCACAATCTAGAGGATTGAAAAATAAAACGGAAGAGTTTTCCACGAGACCAGAAATAAACCCTCAATATAAAGTCAAATAATTACCAATAAAGTGGCCAAGACCATTCATTAGGGAAAGGACAGTCTTTCAACAAGTGCAAAAGAATGTTAGACTCTTGCCCGACACCGCAGACAGCAATTAGCTCAAAACGGATCAAAGATGTCAAGGTAAGGCCTGAAACTGTGCTAGAAGAAGACATAGGGGGAAACTTCACGGCATTGGATTTAGCGATGATGTCTTGGATGACACCAAAGGCACAAAGGAAAAAAAATATGCAAATTGTATTTCATCAAATTAAAACCTTTGTCAAAGAACATGATGGAGAGAGAGAAAAGGCAACCCGCAAAATGGGAGAAATATTTGTAAACCATATATCTGATACGAGATTAATCTGAATATATATAAAGAATGACAACTCAATGACAGTAAAACAACCCAATTAAAAAAGGAGCAAAGAACGTGAAAGGACATTTCTCCGAATAAGATATACAGATGGCCAATAAGCACACAAAAATACACTTAACACCACTAATCATTAGGGAATGGGGGCGCCTAGGTGGCACTGATCATTAGGGAAATGCAAATCAAAACCACAGCGGAGATACTGCTTCACACGCGTCAGGATAGCAATGGTATAATAAAAAGTATATTTAGTTTTTGTCGCTGCCACCAGGAACAGTGCCCCTAAAACTCTTAGAGTCTCCAAAGTGTTAGAAGTATTTTTTGCTCATATGACTCTGCGGGTGGGGGAGCCTGATAACACAAAGATGGGAGCTAGTTGCTGCAAACCTTGATTAGAACTTTTAGCTCCATTCCTGACTTCTTAGGTGAGAGGGCCTAAAGATTAATCACCAACGGCCCATGATTTAATCAATCATGCGAAAGTAATGAAATCTCCGTTACAGCTCCTAAGAATGGGATTTCCCAGGATGCCTAGGTGGCTCCTTAAGAATGGGATTTCCCAGGATGCCTGGGTGGCTCAGTTGGTTAAGTGGTTCAGTGTCTCTGCCTTTGGCTCAGGTCATGATCCCAGGGTTCTGGGATGGAGTCCTTGTTGAGCAAGGAGCCTGCACTCCCCCTGCTTGTGCTCACTCTTTTCCTCTCTCTCTCTCTCTCTCTCTCTGACAAATAAATAAAATCCTAAAAAAAAAAAAAAAAAAGGGATTTCCCTGAACAAAAGCAAGCGTCTGAGAGATCTTATAAAATTTGTTGTCTCAGCTTTTCTTTCAGAAACTAATAAAAAAATTAAATTAGTTGACAAGGAAATGGGGAAAGGCAGGAGAGTCAAAGAACTCTCCCAGTAAGTAGAAATCTTCAGTTGGTTATTAAGAAATAAGGTAAATAAGGCAGACCTAGACGGGGTTGAAAAAAGTTCTTAATACAGCACTATTGAAGATTGGGTAGACCAAATGAACCCCTTTCTGGTTCCCCAAAATTAAAATGCCCCAAACAAGTTTGCTCTATTTACCCCAGTTTGGAGGAATTTAAAAAGCTGGAAGGCAAAGAGAAACCTGGCCTGGAATCACCTGGTGCAATAAATAAATAGGCAGATTAACCTAGACAAAGACTGACACATGGGCCAGGGTCCCTTGGCTTGGGACCCAAAGCTAACACTCAGGAATGGGTTAAATGGTCAGAGGATGAAGAAGAGAAGTTCCTGAGATTCCTGGACACAGAAGTCACATGTACTGTGGTACCAACACCGGCTGGTGAAGCCCTAACATGGGCTTCAGTCAGATTGAGGGGATATAGAAATATACGAGTTGATAGAATTAAGGTGAAAGTTTCAGTGAAGAATATAACGCTTAAGTAGGCTTTATGTGAAGAGGTTGTGTCTCCTTTACCTGAATGTTTTATGGGAATAGATACTGTTGAAAACAAGACAACAAGCCTTAAGTGGCGTCCCTTCTGCAAAACCCCTCCCCAAACTGAGACTTAGCCTGGTTTCTGCTCTTCCGGAAACAGAATCTTCAGCTGGGCCTCATCAGCACTGGTTAGGCCATCTGCCCGATAGACCCTTTCTATGCCCAAAAGGAAAGCAAACTTGCAAGTGCCAACCTGCTTTTTTGTCTAGTATAACTTCCTTGTTCCTGCTCTCTTCTGCCTATAAAAGTCTTTCATTCTGGGGGCGCCTGGGTGGCTCAGTGGGTTAAGCGTCTGACTCTTGGTTTTGGCTCAGGTTATGATCTGGGGGTTCTGGGATCAAGCTCCACGTCAGACTCTGGACTCAGCACAGAGTCTGCTGGAGATTCTCTCTCTCCCTCTGCTCCTCCCTTACTCTGTCTCTCTCTCTGAAGTAAATAAATAAAATCTTAAAAAGTCTTTATTTTGTACAGCCCTATCTGCTAGATTGGATGCTGCCTGATTTATGAATCATTAAATAAAGCCAATAAGATCTTTAACATTTACTCAGTTGAATTTTATTTTGTAACAATATTATAACTGACTGGGGAACGATTTTCCTACATAGCATGGGGGGGCAACGGGCTCTGGTGGAGGCCAGCAAGCAGCGCAGGAGATCAAAGCAGGAAGCCTGCTTCCGCCTCTCCCACTCCCCTTGCTTGTGTTCCCTCTCTCGTTGTCTCTCTCTGTCCAAAACAAAACAAAACAAAACAAAACAAAAAACAGGGCACCTGGGTGGCTCAATTGGTTAAGTGACTGCCTTCAGCTCAGGTCATGGTCCTGGAGTCTCGGGATCGAGTCCCACAATGGGCTCCCAGCTCCACGGGGAGTCTGCTTCTCCCTCTAACCTTCTCTTTGCTCATGCTCTCTCCCACTGTCTCTCTCTCAAATAAATAAATACAATGTTTTTTTTTTAAAGACACAGAAAACCAGGGCTCTTAATTCTTTTTTTTTTTTTTTTATATTTTACTTATTTATTTGAAAGAAAGCATGAGAGGGGAGAAGGTCAGAGGGAGAAGCAGACTCCCCGTGGAGCTGGGAGCCCGTTGTGGGACTCGATCCCGAGACTCCAGGCCCATGACCTGAGCTGAAGGCAGTCACTTAACCAACTGAGCCACCCAGGCACCCAGGGCTCTTAATTCTTAAAACAAAAACAAAAACAGAAGTATTCACCCAAAGCAGAACAGAGGAGATGGAAGTTTATTGGACACCCTGCAAGGGAACAGCACGCAAGACACAAACAGAGACTGTCTGCCAGGAGTCAGTGGTGAGGGGCTGCGGTTAACGGGGGAAGGTGAGGAAATATGGGAACGTATAGAATTTTCCTTTTACTTGTGCCCAATGGTCAGCTAAGGCTTAGAGCTGTTTTGAGGAGATTGCCTAATGGGCCGTTTGTTTCAGCCTGTGGGGGGCACTGTGGGCCCGTTTACGTCCTCAGACCCTCATTGCTCAAGCCGGTTGCCGGAAAGCACTCTTAGTGCTTAGTACTCTTGAACCAAAATTTGCTAAGACTTACTTGATACCATCAAATTGTCTGATAGTAAGAATGTTGTAATTCACATTTCCATAAGAAATGAGTGCTGAAAAAAATAGTCACTAAATTGTATCTTTGCCAGTGTTATGGGTCAAAAATTTCCTCTTAGGTAGTTTCAATTATTATAACTGGTACTATGCTTGTTCATGAAACTGAGACATCATTTGGCCATTTTTATTTATTCTCTTGTAAATTACATCAATATAGATTTGCTCTTTTTCTATTGTTTCTATCTTATGGATTTAAAAGTTTTGGTATATTAAAGGAATTAAGTTTTCTCTGTCAAATATTCAAATTGTTTTTGTCAGATTTTTTTTAACTTTTGTGTTTAAGGTAATCATTTTTAATACAGAAATGTAAAACTTTGTATTTAAAACTTCCATTCATGTTCTGTATCTTTCTGTCTAAGGTG